TGGCTGTCAAGAACCTTCGCCACAAGAAACGGTGACATCTTAGAGAGAGGTTTGTCAGGGACCTCGGAGTGAATCACCATGAATCTGGAAAATGTTTCATCATCTTTATCTTTTACTATGACAGTTCGTTCGGGACGATGCCTCTTAGCGGCACGTCCAGAACTGGGGGTTTTGGTTTGGGGGGTTGCCATAAGAGGCGAAGTTTGTTCGGAACCTGTGGTGTGCCGCCCACCACGGAGCCCAACAAGGGAATAGATAACGCACCATAACAAAAAGGGCTTTGCTGGAAACGTTATGCTATTAGCACTGCCCAGGAACTATACCGAAGTGTGGTTCTGGACAAGGGGTCTGTCGCCACCCAAGGTTAGCCCTTGCCGCCAGAGAAGTTGAAAAAGGAAAGAAGAGAAATGAGAAGAGTGAAAAGGAGGAGAAGACAAGGGTGAAAGTAGAGAGGGGATAGTAGAAGTGGCGACTAGACTGAATCATCCTGGCCGGGCCTTACCAGGACTCCCGTCTATGAGAAGCGGGGGCCGAAGTGGTGTATTGCCTCGCCCGGGGGGCCCCGAAGGGTCCAAACCTACCCCGGGCTCGGCTGAACCACCAGGATGCCCTTTTACCCAGACACGGGAAAGCCACGCACAGCCAGACGTGGGCGGGCGAACCCGCATGGCTCGGGGTCCGTGGAGACGCCACTCTCCAAACACCTGCTTTCACAGGTGCCCCCTGCGGGGCTGGGTGCGCGTTTGCCCCAACGACATAGCAGGGGGTAAAATATATATAGGTGTAAGCACAGCGGGGGCCGTAGATGCCAGATGGAGTAATCTTTTTTTGGCTACAAGGGGCACCACGAAATGGTTCTTCGTTATGCGTTTAATGACAGCCCGTCGCGGGCCGGTTTCCCATGCTTCTTCATTGGAGACGTGCTTGTATTTAAAGTGGCTTTCTGCGTTTGTTGCGTCATGTAAAACTCAGCACTTGCGCTGCACCGTTTGCTTAGACACTGCTTCGTCCATGGCCCTAGTGTCGTGCATGAACGGCGCCAAGAACAGTTTCATGAACGCGTTGAAGCGGTAACATCTCTGGCGCGGTGTTCAAGCTAGCCTCCGTCAACGTCGTAGCAGACGCTCTGAGCAAAGCAATTGCACCCCCGGATGCCAAGTGTTAAGGTGTATATAAGGAAAGCCGTGCCGAGCAGATCACCGAACGCATGCCAGTTGTTCGCGGCGCTGTGTAACGGCACCAGGCGCAAGTTCCCGGTCGCTTTTTTTGCTGGCGATGTCGCAGGTCCCAAACGTCAACCTCATGATGAGGAAGCTTGATATTTTGCTCAATGATGTGATTAACGATTTCAGTCAATGTTCTGAAGTATTGAAAGTGATACTGAAGTGAATATAAACTGAAATTAAAAGAAACTTTTATTTCTAAGCAATTAGTTCGTCGTGGTTTTTACGCGAAAGCGTAACATCGGCGTTTTTTTTTTCCGGACTATATATGTGATTCACGGGAAAATATTTCAAGCAGCTAAATTGTCTACTTCCGTATATTTTACGCACCATTTTGGTGAGACGCAGCACATACCGAGTTTCATCTTCAATACGCATGCAAACGACGAACATACCGGTTTTCCGAGGGTACAGTTTGCTACGGTACGACAGTTACTTGGACAAAACATAAAGTGGCGTTAAAAGTACAGATTTATTATATGAGGATGTCAACATTATTACTGAAACGCTCTGGCCAATCTCCTATTAAAGAGAGAAAATACAGCACTCGTTTCAGATTCCGACAGAGCGTGTATAGAGCCGAAAACATGTTTGCCCATGCACACTGTTTGAACATTGTATCCAATCTGTTCCTTGTTTCCACTAGAAGACACTGCAGTTTCTTTAAGCGTAGAGACACGTTTTAAACGAAGACCATGGTGATGATTAACATGCTAGTTCTGATTTAGCAACAGCCATGAAATGTTTAGGTGGGCGATGGCCACTAGAATGTGTCGACTCTTTCTTCTAAGCATTTAGCAGTACACAAAGTACAGTATCCTTAATGAAGCACAGATAATCTCGCGATTTCAATAACCTCTTCGTTGCTAACGTGCCTAAGGTATATAATGAAGCTTTGTTTTGTGTTCATAATGAAACAGCGCGAATTTTACAGGGACAGAGGAAGGAACTGGACAGGACGAGCGCTGACTAACACCTGAAAGGTTTATTATCAGGAACCCAGGACGAAAACATACGACAACACGACTTTCTAATCACGATGAAAATGCGCATGCGCCTCACAAAGCTGGGCGTTATATGTTACACAATTCTGTAGGCGTCATCCCCGATCTAATATTTCGACCTCACTGTCGAGCAAATTCAAGGAAGCCTGACTCATGCAGGCTGGCCCCTCCTTCATTATTCTATGAGCTTCGACAATATCTCGAGCTTTTTGGTCCCTGTGTTTATACAAAACAATGGCCTTGTCAAGTAACGGTGTACAGGCGCAGTCCCTGCTGTGTAACGCCAAGTGGGAGCTTGCTGTTCCTGTTAAAGAAATATGGTGTTCCCGCAGGCGAATGTTGAGGCACCGCCCCGCCTGTCCGATGTATACCTTCCAGCACGTGTAGGGTATATGGTATACTACAGCCTAGGTGCATGGCACGAACGCAATGCGGTGTTTTATGCCGCACGGCCTCTCCCCTTGTTTTTCTTTCTTGTTAACACGCTTTTGTACTGCAGAGCGAATACCGCTTAACTTGTTACGTGCCAAGAAAACCACATCTACACCGAACTTCGAGGCGGCTCTTTTAAAGCCGTGTGACATGTGGTGCACATAAGGGATGACTGTGACCTACTTTTTTATACTATATTGGTACTTTTCCCCGCGCCTCACCCTTAATGCTTTTCGCTACTGCTTCCGCGGCCGAGGCGATTACTGAATTTGGGAAACCTGTGTTTTGTAGTCCCCCGTAAGATATCACACCTTGGCCTCTAGCTCTCATTTCGTAGCCTCAAACATTTGTCCCCGAGTATAGCAGCGTAAGCAAAAACATAACCAATATAAATTGTTTATGCTAATGTTAGTACAATGTATTTTATAGTCGGGGTCTTTCACTTGCGCATGTCAACGGCGAACGTGCTAATATGTCATCGCTCTTCGCCGTAGATTTCTTTACGTACGTGTTTCACTTTCGATGGCAACAAGACGCTGCCACGCTGTACAACTAGCCTAATCAAAAACTAATAACCTGATGTGGTTTACCACGCTGAGAGAGATTGAGAGTCACGGGTATGCTACCTAATTTATCAGGTGCGAGTACAAAATTCCCACGATTTATGGCAATGCGTTGTCTTGCGCATGCCGATGCCGAGTATTTCAAGGGTTCACATGACACAGTCAAATGTCTTGCTCATAGAAGCTTGTAAGTTTCATCATGGCAGATGCCCACTACAGCGACAAACAGAAACAGCCGATAGCGAGAATCCTCATACATGCGCAGCACGCCCAGGAAGGCACCTTTGGCAGGCTCGCACTCTCTCAGTGCTCGTGGTGTAAGTATGAGTGATTGCAAGCCTGCCAAACATAGCTTGGTGTGCCTAATTCGCGTGTTTAAGGCCTGTCAATGTCGGCTGTTTCTGCTGTTCTTCTAGGGGGATTCGGGCATAAGGATGACACTAAAAATATATAGCCGAAGGATCTTTACATTGCTCTTGTTTTGTGTCGATACTCGGCTTCGACTCCTTTTTATCACTCCCCAAAGTTCGTAATTAGCACGCACAAATGCTATTCACTTAGATAATTTTACAGAAATATTCACTCTGATGTTTATGAAACGCCTATTTTCTGCTGCACGTCTAGTGGTTGTACTATTGTGTGCGGGTAGATATTCGTATTACGAGCCCGAACCGCTTTATGTTGAAAAAGAAGGCAACACGAATTTCTCTTATCACAAGATGACTAACTTGATTTCCGTGAGACGGTTAAGGTTTTTATGCTGTAAGGGCTTTGATGAAAAGAAGCTTCCGCCTGTGGGTCTCATGCTATCATTTATGTAAGCCGGAGGATGACTGAGTTGAAAACTTCTACCCAGGTTATTAATCGCTCACAGACGCGCTTTCTGGACTGATTAGTTTTTCAACGAGACGGCTGAGACATTAGGGCTCAGTTGTAGTTTTCTACAGAGAAGATTTGGTTGCTCTCCTCAGAGGGATCTATATAAAGCTGCACCAAGAATGCATGCGGGTTTCGTGCAGCGGTAGCTTTGTTGCTTATCCTCAAACCAGACAATGAATTGTTCTATTTTTTAAGCTGAATTGTTTTGAAATGTATCGTTAAAGACCGATCGTGTTCAGGGACCTCCGGTCCCTATGATGTATGTATGTATAATATGAGGTTCACAAGGAGGAAATGTAAGGGTAATTCGAATGAAACCTAACCATAACCAGTGCTTTAGTGACACAATATTGTACTGCAAAACATATATCTCCACGCGCTGACGAATATCAAATCTTTAGTAATCACGTCCTGACCCAAACTCTTAAAATTTTCACATGGCATTTTCCTTATGGTAGCAATGCCAATTTGTGCAAATTATCCAAATTTAGAGCTGCACTTAAACATTTGACACGTGCGGCGCAAATATGTTATATTTTATCTATTTACTGCTTTTCTGACTGCTTTGAATGCGTGGTGTTTAAATGGTTTAAAACATTATTGATAGATTGATACCTTAAATTAGATAAAATGTTCTACTGAATAGTAATTCCAAATACCACGAGTATATTATTATGTTAGTAAAGAAACGCATCAGCAGAAACATTGTGTTCTGCAATGTCTTACTTCCAACATGCAGGCTGCATTTCTCAGCTCACCATCTCCTCTTGAACGAATAGAAAGCAAAACATTTTATTGCATTTACTACGTCCTGAACGCAGAGTTATGTGTGGATATTACACTTCAAGAAACAAGCGGACACTGCAGCGAAATATATATAGAGGTATAATTAAACCAACCTCAAATCCGTACGGCGGAAGTTCACCAAACATCTTCTGGTACGTCGCCCAGGACTGCTATTGGGAAAAAAATATATTTTCGCCGTTTCTGAGCTAATATATGCTATGTATAATGCTGATAGTATCTACACACTATCAAGTGCTTGCTTTGAATACACGTTTAGCGCAGTTTTAATGATGCTAAATGACCTTGACGTCTGACTTATATTTACAAGAGTTTTTTTTTTTCATTTTTGTTCGCGCCACAAGGAGTTCGGGAACTGACTGTGATATAAATATTTACAAATAGATTCTCGCAGAAAATATATTGTTTAAAGTATCTGATATATCCAGAATCACCGATCAATGGTACTTGCATTCCCGATCGTAGGCAAAAAACAAAGTAATTTTAAAGTGACTTACCACCCTCAATATTCGTTCACATTGTTTTGGGGGTAAGAGAAAATCGTGATGGCGTTGTGTGCAATACACCCAGCAATTCCCAATACTCATTCCACCATAATGCTGAAAAAAAATATATCTTTTAACATTTTGTTTCATTATGCTTTGCTTAGCTATGTTTTAATATTTAGTTCGTCTTCGGATATAAAGAAAACGTATATGATTGTGCCTTAAAGTAAACGTATATGATAAAATACTTCAATATCGGACCATAATTGAAACATCGGTGGCAGAAGGGCAACAGGCCATATAGTGTGAAAACCGCAAGTGTTTCAAGAGGCCCTAAAAGCATCTGAGAGGAAGCTAAACGGAGAAGCTGGTATAAACAGTCAACTTTACAAGTAATACATATGCTGAAACGGTGTTCGAACTTGTTCATTAAGTAAGGCAAAGGATTGGAGTGAAAGATTATCAATAAAATTCCTGGGAAAGAGAATTCGCGTTGAGCATCTATACATTTGCAGTGCCATAAAATATACCGGACTGTAAATACTTTCCCACGTTTCTTAGATATTTTCAAACCCAACGACAGAATAAATAAAAATGAGTAGGACGACAGCGAGGAATTCCTGAATGACACAGGAGGACCTTAAAAAGGGCGATTTAAATTAGGTGAACCCTCCCATATCCCCAAGTCAGGTTGGATGACAAAGTTTGTTTTCTGTTTTTATATGCCAGTCAAACGTAAAAGAGGTAATAAATGAATTAAGTACAAAACGAGCGTGTTGGTAACGGTAATTAGACATGAGGAAGATACATAGAAAGGGGGGACGGACAACGAAGACTTCGTTGTCCGTCCCCCCTTTCTATGTATCTTCCTCATGTCTAATTAAAGGTAATAAATGACTCCAGAAAACTAACTTTAGAGGCTGGCGGGGTCGGCCGAGAAAATGTTGAATGCTTTCAATGAGAGAGGCGGGAGATTTACCCGCCTGAGATGGAGGCTGGGCGTGTTGAGTATTCATGGCTTAGCGCACGAAATAACTCACACACTCAGAACACACGCACACCCTCAGCAAACACAAACCAACAAACACACAAGCAAACGCGCGCACAGAAAACTAAACCGGCGAATCAGAGGGAAACACACGCATACCGGCAGCGTGCAAAAGAAGTTATTTTTTGCCATTGTGCCATTGTTCTGCGTGTGTGTTATCTTGTGCGCATTTACCTATAATTCAAGCATGTCTCCGATTCCATTACCCCTGCTTGGAATACCCATGTTTTTGGGCTCCCCGCAGAATGGTATGACCTGTCTAAGTTGAAGGGCCTCGTTTACCTGTAGTCGCTCGCGCTGCAAAAGAGGGTTCTTGCTCTTCAACTAAACGAAATTTGAATGTGTGAGTGCTCTGGGAATTGATGGAACTCGTTATATTATATTAATATAACACTTTACAGTGAATAACCAAAAGTACATTATCCAATTCAGCAGTGAAATCGACAGCCATAAAGTAAAATATTTTAGATTTTCTGAAAGTATTGGAATAAGCTGTGCACCCTAGAAGTGTTGATGTTCTCTCTCCGTTTGTATACAAATGAATGCTATCTCCATATTTCTGTTCTGAGGCAGCGAACGCCTGCTGGAGAAGGAGTAGCGAGTCATCCTTAGTGTACATAGTGAAGAATAACTATAAAGTCCAGAAATCACATGGAGCAACTATAACGGTGTTTGGCGGCATAGTACCCGGCGTATGAGAAGGAGTCATTGCTGTTCTCAAACTTTCAACACAAAAAAATAGGCGGTCGATCAATAATCAGTTTTGTTTTCAAAACGTCAGGGATATCTAAAGGCTTGAAGAGCAGAAAACGACTGGTACGGATAACTATTCACTTTGTATGCATATCAGAGGCTAAGTTATTGTCTTCTTTCAACTACCATTTGGTGTGTCTCGGCGTTATGTGAAATTTACCATCGAGATGTCTGCGCCCTAGGTGATGGCCATAACCACACATATTTGGGACAGACTGCCGTGCTGATGCAAAAACCAATGTATAATGGTCTTGGCGAGACCGTACCAAAGGATATAATCTGCAATAGGCATCATGGGTCCGATACTAAGGGCATGGGTGAAAGGACTTCAAGAATGTGTGAGGAGCACAGGTATTTTTTTAACTCCTTAATGTTGGCATAAATGTGAGGATTTTATCGAGAACTACGCCTAATAACGAATATGTCGAATATGCGAAGATAACGATTATGTTTATAATAAAAATCGAATCTAAACACTGCCCATTGCGCAATGAAACTGTTAAGAACAGCCTTTTAGCGCCAATCTTAAAACCCTTTTCTTGTGTATATTTTCTCATTTAACTGATTGTAAGTTGCCGCAGCCGCTCAAATCTGTACAAGTTGCTAGTAGAAAGCGACCTGTGCACATCGTGCAGATGTAGTAAATAAAATAGTGATGGTGCTGTCATATTTACCAGGTCACTCATTTTGATTGCAAAGGGTGTCACACCTGACATCCTTCGCAAGAAAATACCACTTTGATGGAAAACAGATTCGATAAGGTGCAACCTAGCATAACTTGAAAGATTCACCTCGTCAAAACACTTCTAATAATGCGTAATATGCGGCCTCGAAAACCGTATTTACAAAAATCCTTACGTATCTCATACTGCCGCGTCGTGTTCCACGCCTCATGAAAATAGAAAAATACGGAGACATAGTGATGACGGTGCACAAACGCTTCGTTGTTGAATGTTTCTAGGTGGACTAGGTGAAAACCAGAAGAACGTCCTGCTCGGAAGTCGCACTGATTAACGCTAAATATATTACCTGCCTTTATGAATGCACGAGGAGTGGATTAATGAGATCCTTGGAGCTTTTTCAAAGCAATTTGCGCCAGCAACAGATATGTAGTTCATTGTTAGAAAGATATTCTTACTGGTTCTCAGCAGATGTATTATGTGTATCATTTTCTGGCAGTGAGGAAAATAAGAAGCATTTAAAAAAGTTAAGGAAAGACAACAAACTACTCACACGTTTGGGGGACAACTGATTTAGCATTTCACAGTTGATCCTGTCATGTCCAGGTGGCGACTACCTTTTAGGTGGTAGTGCTTCTCCGAGTTTACATATTGCGAATGGCCTAATTTATGCTGCGCCATGAGCACATACAGAGAAGCAGGCTCTCTCTTTGACGTTTAAATGAACTTCCTAAACTATTCACTGTAGTTACTTGAACTCTATATGCACTCAAAATGCTCACCGAGAACATTGGTTCAGTTCTAAGATAATGATGATGCAAAAAGAGGGATATGTAAGGTCTGGTGGTCGCCTCTAACATTTAAAGCAATCAGACACTTTCCTAGACAAGACCAAGCTATTTATACAGGAGATGTACTTGGTTCATAAATTTAGCTTGGCCTTATTCTCGCCAACGAACTTCGGCCCTAATTTTATTAAACGATTTTCGGTTTCAAGTAGTGTTGTACGGCTATATATTCCCCGGTTTGTGTTTAGGACTTTCTGGGTAGATGCACAGTCCTCTGTTCACTAGGGCGTGCGTATCCTCGGAAAAACAGAAATGAATCGAGCACGGATTCTAATTTAAGGAGGTCCGATCAGAATTTCCCAACTTCCACATTGAAAGGCGCTTTGAGATTGACGTAAATCAGTCAATACTTTCGGAATAATAAAAGGACGATGGACCTAATGCGTTGTGGGCAAACCGAAAAAAAGAGTAGGTTTTTTTTTAATGAAAAGACAGTCTGGGTGATAGAAAAAGCCGCTAAATGACTTGGCCACCATTATCCTGGCCAGAAGTACACCACAAATGGTGGTGGGTATTAAAATCAGCAATAAATAGAAAGGGCTTCGGGAGGTGATCTATGAGGGCTTCCAGATTTCGGAGCTGCCATGTAACGTATAGTGAGATCATCTGTGTCAAGGCAGAAATGAGGCGGTTGAGAAGTGAACGAACTGCAACCACCTGCAGTGGAGGCCGGAGAGGAACCTTAGCATACTCAACTCCTCTTAGTACTGCGTCTGCTATGCCACCCGACGGGTTTAAGGAAACGCGATCCTTCATAAAAAAAATAAAAAAAAAACAATTGGCGATGCAACGGCGACGTGTTGCATCGCATGTGAACATGCGATGCAACAACAGTCCCATGTAAACAAATGGCCGAAGCGCCAAACTCGTTAAATGTTAATTCACGTCATCTATGTAACGAAGTCCGCGGTTGTTTCGTTGCCTGACTTGTAGCATTTTCTTCATTATTATGTTACAATAAAGATCATGACAAAAAATTAAAAAAAAAACGTTTCCAATTCCCGGTAATGCCTAATTAGCGCGCAGCTCTTGAGAGGGAGGAGTTAAGGGTACGGAGGAGGAGGAAGGCCATACCCTCGTCTCCGAACACTCCTCTCCTGCTCCCCTGCCATTTAGCGGGAAAGTTTCGGTAAATTTTCCACTCTTGATGAGGAAGAGGAAAGGGTACGGAGAGGAGCGTAGGCCCCTCTTTCTCTCCTCCTTCTACTCTCCTCTTCCTCTCCTCCTCCCGTCCTCTTCCTCCCCCTCCTCTGATCCTCCTCTCTTGAGTTATTTCGATTTTGCGATTCGCCGTGCTAAGCACTCTGAGGCAGATTATATATATATATATATATATATATATATATATATATATATATATATATATATATATATATATATATATATATACAGGGTGTTTTTTTTATTCTTACACATTTGTTTAAAAAAAACCGTGAAAGCTACACTAATGCGGTTTGTGCAGGTGGGTTGTACGGCTAGGCGGACATCATGTGGGTTGCTAATCTTTGTGATAAGTCGGCTAACTAAATAAAATTCGTTAATTAAATGTTCAATTAGTGTAAATAGACATATGATTTCAATTAGAAACTTGTAGACCATCATCGAAAACCACTAAATCAACTATTTTTGGAAGGATATAACGGCGGGGAAGCATTTTACAGCGTTCTGTAAAAACGCTCCATTTGGACGCGTTTCTAGATTTCGGTTTCTTATCGGAGCGCATCACCGCGCCCGCAGTCCTCCTCCCCAGTGGCTGAGACGGCAACACACGTGCGCCGTACTTCC